TACCCCGTAATAACCTCTCCCGCTTTCATCCGTCTAGAGTGACTTCACTGTCTTGGGCAGCAGGGTGAGGATGGGCTGGGCGGGGGGGGGGGGGAACAACACGATGGTCACGGGAATTCCAGCTGGTGGAGGTGCTCAGTATTAGTTCTTTAAGCTTTGTTACCTTGATGCATCTTCTCATTCTGAAAAATGCATGTATATACTGTTAATAATTGAAAAACAATGTTAAATATAACAGTATAAATAAGTATTGGAATAATCAAGAATGGGGATTGCAAGTAGAGTTTTTAAAAAGTCCCCCGATGCCACTGTTATTTCCAATTCTTTTGTTCTCCTTATAGAGATGTGAGATCTTTTTTGGGCAGGGGGAACATCTTTGCCCATTGCTAGAGGGGCAACCATAGAAAGATTTGGGGGTTTCAGGAGTACAGAATAATGGCAAACTTTTCATCTGTGTAGGTATCAAGCCCTTCTCTGGATTCTCATCTTTCTAACTTCTCCTTACAGCAGTTTTTATTCACATGCCCTAAGTAGCTTCCAATCAGCACAAAGTGAACCGTTCTAATTTGTGTTTGTGTGCAAATTTTTAGTGATGCTTTAAGAGTTTTCTTGGCAAGATTTCGGAAGTAGTTGCCATTGGCTCTTTCCTACGATTGAGAGAGAGAGAGAATGACCCAAGGTCACCCAGTTGGCTTTGTGCCTAAGCGGGGAATAGAACTCAACACTTTCTGGGTTTCTAGCTAGATGCCTTAATCACTACACTGAGCTGGCTCTTCCAAAATCTCGCCGGGGCGGGGGGACCTGCAGGAATTAGTCCAGGCAGCCCCTAGGAGTCAAGGCTAACTCAAAGACACATCCCAATTTAAATCCATCTAGCCATTCCACTGCACTTGATGAAATAAGCTGTACTCACAAGAACATATGCCTTGTAATAAAATTTGGTATTTAGAAAAGATGTTACTAAACTCCTGGCGTTTTGGGGCTGCCATAGAGTAACATGGTTTTCCTCCTATAATGATATAATGTTTGCCATGCCATGAGTTTTCTTTTATCCTTCCAAATTATGTTGCTGTTCCTCATCAAGCACTGGTATGTGCTTGTTGATATAACACATAGTTGTTTATTTTATTGATTAGCCCTTGGGCCATATCAAAGTGCAGAATTCCAGAAATGGGACCCTGACTATGAATGGTGGCTGTCCTGTGACTCTCTGATGATCTCCTTTCAACCTCCCACTTGCAAGGTCATTTATGGAGATTCTCAGTCTTCCAGGTTATGGTTGCCTCAAAGGTGCTTTTTCTCAAGAGGAACTGGACTTTTCCGGTTTTTCTTTGAAGACATTTTGCTTCTCATCCAAGAGCTGAAGAAGCTTCTTGGATGAGAAACAAAATGTCTTCAAAGAAGTTGCCTCTTGAAGACAGCACCTATGGGACTTCTGCAAAGTCCTTGTCATGGCAAAAATTCTCCATTTCCTGGAGCTTGACTGAGGTTACAGAACTGTTACAGAAAAGTATAGGAAGCTGCATTATTTCAAGACATGCCTTCAGCACTACCTATACACTGACAGGCAGCAGCTCTTCAGGAGCCCTTCTTAGCTCTATGTGGGGAAACTGGAGATTAAACATGGAACTTTTGCAGATACTTTTGCACTAGGTTATGGTAGCTTTAATCTAGTGTCTCTGTCCTAGTTGTATTTGTAGCTGTGCTCTTTAATAGTGCATACATTATTGGTTGAATTTTTAAAGCAGGATTTGGGAACTGCCTATATTAGAAAAATACAGCTTCAGCATTTCAGATATTAGAAGGCTGCAGTTTTCATCAACCTGTTAGCTGCCTCTGTTAGCTGGAAGTGTTAGGAGACCATCAAAGCATCTCAAGGCAGTCCCTGATGGTGAGATCCATTTCTCATTGCAATGATTCAGAACTACTATTACATTTAATTGTACAGCTCTATCTTTAAATAACTCTTAAAATGTGCTTCCCAAATAGCAGGAACTGTGCTTGAGCAAAGGAGACATGGTAAATTACATGGAGTTTTTGAATACATTTCATGATGTAACAGGGAGATTATGTTATGAAGGCAGATAAAGTTGTACTTTGTGGCATCTTCCAGAATCATGGCATGAAAGTGTTTAGCTGTTCACCATAAATTATTTTTTCACTTACATAGCAGTAAGAAAAATTATACACCATCATATCTAAAGGACTGTGATTTCAGAAACCATTTTCCTTACTGGAGCACCAGGAAAAATACTAGCAATTGCATCTGTACAGCTTTCCCAATTAAAATGTAATCTGATCATAGTTTATCCTTCTTATTATAGAATTTTGAATGTTTGTTGATAATGTAGACAGGCAGGTGGGTGGCTGCTGAATTCAAAGAGGAGAAAGGAAGGAATAGTTTGCCTAAGTGTATCTTCTTTCTTTGAATCTGGATACTCTTCGCAGTGATGCAGAAGTTCTTGGTTCTTAGCTTTCCAAGAGACTTGAAAAAGAATAATGGAACCTGGAAAGTGATCGGAGTTCTAGATTGGTACTGTGAAGATCCAGGTGTAAGTCTACACTTAGTCATGGAATTCATGTCTTTGGATTAGTAACTTCGTTTTGGATAAAATTGGGAAAGACCTCCCTGTGGGTTGCCTGGAACTCTCAGAGCAATTACAAAATATAAATGAGGTTGTTGCTATTTTATTCTGTATTATCAGCCTACTTGAAGCTTTATAGCTTTAGTACATCCTTTTTAGACAGACAGTGGTCCCTATCACGGGAGTGAGAGGGTGGGAGGAAAGAATGGAGGCAAATGAAGGGCTGTAGATTGAACTATTAGATACACGCTTTGAGGGACTATGAGGATGGATTTGAGGAAGGTTTAGGGCAACTCACTGCAACCAATTCGCTATAGCCAACTTGCCACAGCCAAATCCCAGTGGGACAACTCATTATGGTCAACTTGCCACAGGACAATTGAAAGCTGTATTAATAATTTCATTCAGTTACTTTTATTATTGGTGACCATGTTTTCATTGAAATTATTGTAAGTGTTGTATTTCTGAATTGACTTTATTTGTTTTATTATTAGCCATGGTTCTGCTGAAATTAATTTAACTTTTTTATTTGTTGACTTGTCCTGTGACAAGTTGTCCCATGGTGAGTTGGCTGAAGCGAGTTGGCTATGGAGAGTTAGCCATGGTGAGTTGGCCATGGGAAGTTGTCCCATTCTATTTGAGGAAAGGAAAAGAAAGAGTATCTCCTACACATCCTGGTGGAGTGTCTTCTTGCACTAGAAACAAAATGAAAAGTGTGTTGAGTTGAGCAGAGGTTTTTGTTTTGTGGAAAGAAAGGAAGTCACAAAGAAAGAAGTAATAAGCACAAACAAAATCTAAAAGTTGGAAAACTGTGAATCACTTTGTAAAGAAGACAGAACACCAGATGGAGAAGGGAATGAGAAGCCAGGAAAAGGATCTGAAGCAAAGAAATAAACTAAATGGGTTGGACAGTGGAATTTTGAATAGAAGTGCAGATGAATGCAAACCGAGTAATGAAAGAATGTTCCCAAATTATTGCTTTAAGAGGAATCTGCAGGCTGACAGCAAATAGCACTTATGTAAACATGATTCCATGGGATAATTCATATTTCTACGAATACTCTGCTTCAAGATAGGCCATAAAAGGAGACTTCGTTTTATAGATCCTATACCTTGTATCACTTTTGGATAGTTCCCATATGCTGGAAACAAAATTCAAATTTGAAAGCTTTAGTGAGTTTATATTGTTTTCATTTTATGTGGACACATTTCTCCCTTCTGACAAGTACAATAAACTTTGGGAAACTTCACTTATCGCCTAGAAAATAACCAAAATAAAGATGAGGAAACACTTTACAAAATAGCTTTGATTCACAAATTTAAATGTGCAAATGACTCATAATTGAATTCCTCTAGGACTATTCCTTGATGGGGAGAGATCCAATAGTGAGTTGTTGTTGTTGTTTTTTTAAAAAAATTACCATATATGTATATTCGGTTTGGATGCTTCATCTGGTTTTTTTTCCTGCAGAATTCTGAAATGTTTCCTCTATTTATGAGATATACATATAATATATTTGCATATATACTTCTTTTGCAGCATGCTGGAATACTCTTTGGACTTGCAGAATGTCAGTTTCTCAGCTGTTCGGACAGTCAGGGTACTCCGGCCTTTGAGAGCTATTAACAGAGTTCCTAGTAAGTTGAATCTCTTTTCTCCATTCTCCCCCTCCCTTTGGTAATAGTTCATCATTTCTGATAATGAGGAATCAAAAGAATAAATTGGAGATATTACATATTTTCTGAAATTGCATTGAACATGCTCCCTTCTGTCCCTTCAGCACATCAATTATCGGGCTGTTTTCCATTCATTATGAATGAATAATCCAGTTTGTTCCCTTTTGATGAATTGTCCTTCCATTTCAACCATCCCCTCAGAAAATGAGGGATTTATTTATTTATCAGATTTATACACCGCCCAACTCACTACCTAAAGGACTCTGAGTGGTTATTATGTGATTATGATCAAACACAGAATGAACAGTTCGTACTTTGTTTCCAAAAGTGTTTGCCTTTTTTGTGTTTTGCTTCTCTTTCTGAAGTGTTGTTTTTTGTTAATGTCGCACGTGAATCAATTATTCAGCTTGTTTCATTTTTACCATTCATTCCCTTAATTTGGAGACATTAGTGGTTTGTGATGGAAAAGGATGGGTGAGTTATTAGACACAATATTGGCATGAGGACATGTATGGATATAGTTATGGAAGGATGCTTTCTTCCACTAGCATTAAATAACTTGCAGAGGATGATAAACAACAAATCCTCTTCCTTAAGTTGCCAGATGTGCCTTAATTTAAGGCAATATGTCTTTCCAGCATCACAGATTGTTGGTCATTAGATTCTATCCATTTCAGAACCAGTTGTTTTTCTGCAGCACCTGTTTTCTAATTCCTATCTTCAGCTATGCACTGTGTCTTTATACCTCATGCCCACATTGCTTTTGGTATGATCCTTTTCATCTTCAACTTTCTGGGAAGAATGATTTCTCCAGAAATAATGAAACACTTTCCATTTAATCCTATCAAAACAGTATGAAAAATAATGGATACAGTTATTTGTTTTAAAGAATTGGTTCATCAGGAGGAAAAAGAAGAGATTTGCGACTCTTGGCCTTTTTCATTTGGGCTGTAGGTTCAGTGTTCATCTTCAGACCACTTACTAGAATTTGTTCTTTTTCCTCAGTGATGGAAGAGTTTTCTCCCAAACTGGATTAGAGGACTTCCAAGGTCCTTCCCAACTCTGTCATTCTGTTATTCCTAGATTTGAATGGCTATTTTATTTAAGTATGGTAGACACAGAGAGAGAGAGACAAGTTTAAATTAGGAAAGATAGTTTTTCAAGGTCAGATATCCATTTGATAATAAATCATGACAGTAAAGCCAGAAGTATGGGATGGTAGTGGTCTTACTAGGACTGGAGAGACACAGGTGACAGGAGCTCACTGGATGATCATACAGATCATTACCTCAAACTATCTCACAAAGTTGTTAGTTTGGGGAGAAATTGGAGATCTTCCTGAATTGTGGAGAGAAGGCAAGAACATCAATATAAACCACAAAGAAATCTGAGTTTATTGTACATCTATAATGCCTATGCCTATAAGGGAGCTCCAGAGGCTTTTGTTTTAATATTTGCATTTTGACAGTTAATACCTTGGACTCCTTTGTATCTCTGAAAGTCAAATGTTGATTGCAGCACCTTGATTGCAAACTATTGGTCAGATGTTTTAGGAAAGTAGTTTTTATTTTCTATTTCAGGGATTCTCCAATTGTGGGTTCTTAAACCACCACCCATCACTAACTGTGTCTCCCAGTGGGATCTTGAGCAACTTGGATCATACATTTTTTTAAAAACTGATCACAGTGGAAACACTGTCAGAACCTGCTCCTAGTTTGAATGGGCAAACTTGAAGTGAACTCACCTACATAAAGCAGGGAGCAACGCCTGGAGTGATTTTAAAGGATGCCTAACTTGTGGGTCTAGTTGTCTGTCAAAATCACTGCCAAGCACAATATAACAGTGGGTGATAAATGGTCTCTTACCAGCTTGTGGCTACCAAGGTGGCTTGTTACAGTGCTTGAAACTGTATTTGTGTACTTGTGTAGTCCTTCAAATCTCTGCAGAAATGTATATCTTAGTGATGTTCATTTATTATAAATCTTTAGACTTTCAAAATGGAAATGTTATGAAAAATGAAAAAGTTAAGCATGATCAATCTGATAAAAGTCATGTTAAGCCCAAAAAAAGGATGATGGGTGCTACATAACTTCTACTACACTGTGCGTTTTTTTCTTTCACAACCTTAACCCTAACAAAATCATTACTTCTGAAGGCATACAATAATGTATTTATTGTGCATACAATAATGTATTTATTGTTGTAGTGGAGAACATCTGTTCTTTTTCATATACCTTATGGGTTTCCCCCCTAAACAAACGCAAGAGGTTGTTTGAATAGTTATGTCAAGGCAATCATATTAGTTGAAAGTCCAAAGCATCTGAAATCTGATGCATCTAATTCAGTAGAGTGCCTAAATAAAAGTCAAAATTCCATCCTGCCCCTGCATTTAATAGCATAAGTAGATGCAAAGCTCTGTAGCACAGAAGAAGACCCATCTGGTTGAATGTGTCTGTTACCTTGACAACACGAGAAATTCTGACCTGGATCCATCTGTCAGAACCTGGTAGTTCCTAGGCTATATTTGTTTTTCTAATCTTGTTAAATTAAACTTAATCTACCAGGATGTTCCCTGTTATTGTTGCTTCCACTTTTATCGTTTTATGATACAAGCACCTCCGTTGAAACATTCCCCCCCCCCCCATCAAGCAGAATAGATACATGGCTGGATGTATCTGCCTCAATCTAACTGGGGATATAATTTGCTTCATACATTCGCAAATCCCAGGTAATTTATCTTTGATCCTACACAGCAGAGCTGAGACTGCCCGGGAAGCAAAATGTACAGACTTTAAGGAAGGTCATCAAGTGATGTGCTTGAGAGGCTGCTCTGTTACCCAGAGAAAAACGAGAAAAATCTTATAAATTTTTGAATATTTGCAATTGGAGTAGAGTCAGTATAGGTTGGGAAATGTTAACTATTGAGAAACAAAAACATAAAGAGGTTTTATAAATACACGGGTGGGGGAGCATGGAACTTTTAGGATTTCTTCTTTGCCGGGTGCCTGTAATTCTTACTTACTTATGAGCAATAAGAATACAAAGACTGATAGGCAGTGAGATAGAATCTTTCGCCTCTAAAAGCTTTGCCTGTAAATGGAGCAAAATATTAACAAGAAGTCAAGCAAGTAACAGGGAATGGTAGCTGAGTTAAAAGAATGGACAGAATGCAGAAGGAAAGCCCGGAAGACCCTATTCACATTTAACATGTTTCTGTACACAGACATTGTAGTTTCCTTATTGGATTAAAATATAATATTTGATGTAAATGTGTGCGCCCACCCACCCACAATATATACAACCATAAATAAAAATGTATACATAAATACACATAATTGTGAAGAGTTCAGTCTAATAACATATACCATAGTATTTTGATGTTGTCCTGAAGATGACTGAGGTAGAGTTCAATATTCCATGTCATTGTTATGTAGCTTGAAATCTGACTTTTGGTATGAACTCTGTATAGCCTGCAAAGGCATGAGTGAACTCTGCTGGAGAGCAGGCTGCAGAAGTATCCCTGATGGGCTGAATACAAAGATTAACAGATGCATGCTTTCCCTAGAAAAGCAAATTCTGAAGAGTAATTTGGGGATGGAGGCACTTTTGTTAAATGTATGAAGTGAGGTAGGGATCTTTTCCATTTGTGTTTTATCAACGGAAACCCTTGGAAACTTAACAGCAATGTCGATCCCTTTACAATCCACAAAGTGTTCCCTGAATAACTCTTATGATTAAATGTCATTGATTGTATGATTAATTGGTAATTCCACAAAGTGCTAATGAAGAGAAAAATGGGATCTATAAAAAAAAGCTTAGAAGAAAATGCCAGATTAGAATGAAATAGATTATTGAGAATCTATTTACAATCATAAATGAGAGCAAGGCATTTAGACATAAGCATGAGTACAACAACTTTTGTAGGCCTCTAAATTCCTTTTGGAACTAAACAGCAAACTGTAGTCTAATGGGAGAGAGGACATAAAAGGACATTAGGCTTCAATTTTTTAAGAGCAGGGATGAGTATGTCATCTGTTGTGTGTCCAGGATGATCAATGAGCTTTTGGATACAGATGGGGTCGAATGCCATAAATTCTTATTTTAATAGGAACTTGCCAGGTTTGTATCTCCTGAATGAATATTTGGATCTGAATGCAGTTATCCTTTAATATCTACATTTCTCAGAGCTTTGCATTCATATGAAATGCATATATTAAATGTGCGCAAAAATATGAAGAGTGGGGTTTTAAAGTACATGAAAAAGCATTACATTCAGGAAACCCGCTTACTAAAAATACATTATTAGACATCACATACAAAATGTATAGTTTATGGACAGATCTTCTTTAAAAAGCTGGACATAGATGGAGAAGATAGGATTGATTTATAGCAATAGCAATATCACTTAGATTTGTATATCACTTCATAGTGCTTTTACAACCCTCTCTAAGCAGTTTACAGAGTCAGCATATTGCCTCCAACAATCTCTGGGTCCTCATTTTACCCACCTCGGAAGGATGGAAGGCTGAGTCAACCTTGAGCCAGTGAGGTTTGAACTCCAGAACTGCAGCTGGCAGTCAGCTGAAGTAGCCTGCAGTACTGCACTCTAATCACTGTGCCACCTCGGCTCTATTTATAAGAGGAAAAAATTAAAACTGAAGGAAATTAAATTGATTATCTACTCCTAAGTGAAAAATGAATAAGAGGGTAACAATATGTTTTCGATAAGCAAACAGAAAGTCAAAGAACAAATATTATAAAACAAATTTAGCATTACAGCTAGTTAAAGCTTTGTGTCAAAGCTCAATATGTTTTAAAGTTAAAGTCAATGGAGTTCTCCGCCAATAAATGTACAGCACTGCAGTCATGCTCCATAAATTTAAGTATGACATTTTATTGGTGGCTTGTTTCTGATACCTTTATTTTATACTGTAGCTGTTAATCAAGTGTGAGAAGGTGTATTTCTTTAAAAAAGAAACAGCAATAAAGTTTTTTCACATATAAAAAAGGATACTTCTATCAGGATTCATCCACACTGAGGTATAACTCTGGATTTCTTTGGATCTCTGAGGGTACTCATGGTGAGCTCCTGTGCTTCAGAATTGTCCATCATGCTGACTGTACATTTTCTTTTTTTTAAGAGGTAAAGAAAGTGGGTTACTTTCCTACATATTCTAGGGTGGTATCTTTCCATATGTCTTTGATGATTGCTATGTGTTGCTGAGCCCACAGGACCACACCAACTGTGAACCTTTGACTCTTACCATACCTGGTTAGATTAGCATTGATTAATTGAAATATGTTGTTAGGAAGAAATCTAGCGAGATCACATTGCAAAACAGCCTTTCCATGTTGACGTCTTAAAATTATATGACAATCCCACCCCACCCCGAATTCCCAGCCTGTTCTGGGAACTGCTGCCCTGACACATTTAAAAGAGTCCAAATTGGGGGGGAAACTTCCTGTAGCATGTATGGTTCTTAACTCTAATATCCTTCTTCTCTTAGTTAGAACAAGGATGTGCTAACTCAGTAGAACTTCTCATCCTAAAATGGGGCTTTTATTTGCTTTCTTAGGTATGCGCATCCTGGTCACCCTGCTTTTGGACACACTTCCTATGTTGGGGAATGTCCTCCTTCTCTGTTTCTTTGTCTTCTTCATCTTTGGTATTGTTGGAGTCCAGCTTTGGGCAGGGCTGCTTAGGAACCGCTGCTTTCTACCTGAAAACTTCAGTCTGTAAGTATGAATGAGGTAGGCTTGCCCAGGTTCTTTGTAAGTGCTGAGGGGTTTCAATACATCAAAATAGTAGTTCCCATATGCACCGCAATATTCATACATAGCGTATGAGTATCTCTGCTTGGTGTTGTAACAGAAGTGGAAATTTTCTAGCAAAGTCATAAGAAACAACACAAGTATCTAAAATCCTCAGTAACATAACATTTTTTTCAGAATGTGTCCCATTGCCATGGCTGATAGCTGCCCAGCAGCGATGATAGAAATGTCTTCTTTCGCTCAAAATATTATAGGACATGGAATAAATTTTATGAATGGATAGAGACAAGAGGTAGAAATGAGAGGGAAGTTGGTGAATGTCAATAACTGTTAGTATGGAAAATAAAGATACTATAGAATTATGGATATAATACAGAAACATTGTAAATAGGCTAATGTAAGTAGAAATTTAGTTAAAACTCATTTTATTTTTTCCCCATTGGTTGTATTATTATAATTACTGTAAATATATTAATATTATAGTTATTAGCTTGTTAAGTATGTTAAGATTTGTTATTGATTTTTCTGTGGCTTTGCTTTATTTGTAATTGTTACCCTAACGTGACACTGTCTTCTCAATAAAGAAAAGGAAATAAAAAGAAATGGAAAAAAGAAAAGAAATGTCCTCTTTCAAGTATGTCCGTCGGCAGTCACAATACTCCAAGAAGGGAGACTCGGCTACTAAATTGCAACTCTTCAGCAACCAAAGCTCTGACGGCCATTACAAATGAAGAGGGAATTTCCAACCTCTGACCAAATGGAAGAGGGAGAGCTGGAGAACAGCAATTGATGAGATTTGGCTCAGGAAAGAATTTGATTCAATTCAGTCAGAGATAACAGGAATGAGGCAGGAAGAAGAATCCAGTCTTATCAAGATTCAGTTCCTCATCTCTGCTAATGGGGTGAAAATAATTCCAGAGAAGTATGGAAGAAGTCATTATTAATAATGCTGGCACCATATAATAAAACCAAGCTTTGAAGGAATACAGACCTCTCTCCTGATGTGATATCTTTTCAATGTAGCTAAAACTGTGTATATACAACAAAATGTTTAATACATGTATAGCTATAAATGCAAAATGTGTTTTTGTAGTATTTTTGGAGAATTCTTCATTCTGATTCAGAAAGATATGTTGTGTTGAATTTGGTGCTATTTATGTGCAACCACTAATTGTGCAGTAGGGCTGTTATTGTGCTCATGATTCTTAAGGCTGAATGTGAATTACTTAACATATAGAGTATCTTGTTAATATCTGAACAGTCTAAGCAAGTTCAGCATAGAAACACTAATTCGAAGCTTGTGAAAATTCTTCAGGTGCCCTTTAATTCTTGGGTTATCAATACAGCTGAAACTTATGAGAAATCTATCATAATTTTTTTTTAAAGTTAAGAGGTTTTTTTTTGGAAGTTGGATGTTTTTTCTTCCTTTGAGTTTGTTTGCTGGGAAGAGAGAACAGTTAAGTTTCAGTAACATAAAATCCCTCTAAATAAATTGGCAACACACCAAAATCATGTTCTGATCAAGTCGACACCCCCTCCCCCCCCCAATGCAGCTACTGTTCTGAGTGAAAGATCAGGAGTCTGGCAGCACCTTTTCTAATAAATTTTATCAAAAGACGCAAACATTTGCCAGCTGCTGCTCAGATGCGACTAAACAGTGACTAAACAGATGTAAGATTTCAGTTGGGATGAACCAAAGGGAAGGGAGGGGAAGAAAGTTGATTATGCAATTACAGAGGAGTCAAATTACTAGTACGTAATCAATTAACCATTGTGAACATCCATTGTATTTGGTGAGATCTTTTGAGATTGTCTAAAACCTTTTCCTGTGTGTGAGTTCAGAAGTCTCCATTTTAGAAAATCAAGTCTTGATTTTCTAAAATTGACACTTTGAGGTCTTCAGTAGAATGTCCCAATGGATATTATCTGATTGATAATACTTTGTTCTTGTTTCAGTCCTGACATTCATTATTGGTTTGGATAAATATCCTTTGGTTTTTCTTAATTATCTGTTTGGGGCCACAATAAACTAACACGGCTTTCCTTGTATGTGGTCTGAGTGAAGGGTGAAAGGCTGAATGGAGGGTGAGGGATGGATAAGTTGCAAAAGGTATTCAAACCAACAATTCAAGAATGAACCTGCCCAAACCTCTCCTAAATTTTGCTTTAAAAGCTTTTCTATGAACCTGAGTGCATTAGGAAAGTGAAATGTGCCTCCCCCACTAAGAAAATTATGTATGAAAGTATCTTCAAGATGAATTAATTTATTATGGAATAAACTTTGGTGGATCATAGCTTGCTTTATAATGGCCATATAGCCCAAGCAGTTTGGTGAATTGCAAGTTGTCCACCAAGCCAGTTTATTTAGAGCTATGACTGTTTTCCACTTTTTTTCCTTACTGATTAACTTAGTAATTATGCAAGTAGCAAGATGGGTGTTTATTAGATTCTGCCCCCCTTTGAAGTGTTTTATGTTTTTCATAATCTATAAAGAAATAACAGCAGATATATGGGACTGAAACTGTACATGCATCCTATCTAGTATCACATCTTACCTCAGATAACAACCAGCACAAATTATTTGAGTGATGTGATGTGATCTGACATCATTTTTAGCTTCAAAACATCAGTAGTTTAGAGACATTTTTAAAAAATGAATTGCCATTCTTGGCAATCAGAGTGCTCCCACCTACAATTAATTTCTCTGATTGCTTGCTCTGAACTCAATTATCCTATTGGCCCCTGTAACATCTCTGAGCCAGTAGTTCCTTGTATTGCTCTATTGACTGCATGAATATCACTTTTGCTCTGTTCATTTTCATACTGTTGCTTTGTAAGAATAACAGTGTGATTATTTCTCACTTTCTTTTTGCACTGTGAAAAGAACATTCCATCTTTACTTCATCCCCAACTAGTGTGATTTTGGTTCTGTAACCGTCCGTGTGTCTCTTTCTTCCAGGCCTTACACACTGGAGCTGGAATCCTACTATCAGACAGAGAATGAAGATGAAAGCCCTTTTATCTGCTCCCAGCCTCGAGAAAATGGGATGCGGGATTGCCGCAGTGTTCCCATACGGAGGGAGGAAGGCCTGGTGTGTACCCTGAACTATTATTCCTACAACGACACCAGCAACACCTCTTGTGTCAACTGGAACCAATATTACACAAATTGTTCTGCCGGGGAGCACAACCCTTTCAAAGGAGCTATCAATTTTGATAACATTGGATATGCATGGATTGCAATATTTCAGGTGAATCAAAAGGACTTAAACCATGATCTTGTGCTGCTGCAGCAACTGGGAAAATGAAGTTTGTGTTTATTTTTGTTCAGAAGTGCATTTATTTTTCAAATTTGAACCAAGTAATTAAATAGCTGAGAATCTGCAAGTCCTGCTTTTACTGTAATAAATATAGGTTCTATGGGTACCAAATATGCATGTGGTTTTTTATTTGTTTGTTATTATTCTTTATTAAATTATGTCAATTTATATATTGTGTTATTTTTAATGCAAAGATTGAATAGGGTAATTGGGAGCCCTAGAATCAGTCAGTGCATCCCTTGGTCTTGTTTAAGGTGGTCTTTTACAAGTTACCTGTTTAGACCCCTGGTACGAATTTTCTGACCCTTCCCCATAACTAGTAGTTTGGGGAAGACCTAAAAGAAGTCAGGAAAAAAATGTGAAAGAATATGAAAGAAAGGGATGATAGTTATCACATCCACTTGGCCCACCCTACTACTTGATTTAGCCTTGTCTACCAAGTAGCATCAACCAATTACTCTGAGAGAATGTGACCCTCAATATGGACAAACTGTCTTGTAGGTGACTTAAAAATTTCATAGCTATTTTGTTAGATGTCTACCGTTCCTTGCTCTTCACAGCCCTGCAATCATCAAGATGAGCTAACCAATGACTTCCTTTTCTTTTGCCTTATCACAGGTCATCACCCTGGAGGGCTGGGTAGATATCATGTACTTCGTCATGGATGCTCATTCCTTCTACAACTTCATCTATTTCATTCTCCTGATCATTGTGAGTTTTGTCTCCAGTTGTGTCAATCAGAAGCATTAAACCTAGATTTCCACTGAGGAAAAGTCATACTGGGGTGCATGGAAGGACTGATGATAGGATTTATTATTAGAGCCTCCCAAAACAGGGTAGCCAGATAAAAAAGAAAACCAGATCTCATGTGCTTCTTGCATTTGCAAGGTACATTGAAATCACTTAGAAAAAAAATCTAGTCAGTGATACTGGTTTCCTCACTGTTTACTACTCATGCTTTCTGCTCCACATTTTTATTTTAGTAAGCAAAGGTTGAAAAAAGAGAAGTAACCTTAAAAGTTAGCATAGAGGATGCTTGAATTTGATCTATGGTGACAAAGACAAATGCAAATAATTTGATCTTATATTGGCTTTTATGTTAAAGAAACCTGCTGACCATGATATTTTTGTTCTTGTTTTGGTAGCCTCAAATAACTTCTATACTTTCCTTATAATATACATAACAGATTTAATAACAGCTGCTTAGATTTTGTCTCTTTCTGCCTTACCCCAATATTTGTCAAGATTATACAAAGCTTATATGTCAGGGAAAAAATGGAGAACAAAGTTATGACAAATAGCATTCAGACAGGCAAGATATAGGAGTAAACCTCAGATACATTCATATTAACCTACATGGGTAATTATTTAGGATCTGTTTAGAATTGTGTTTTTTTTAATCCGACAATAATCAGTATCATTCTTACTCTGGCCATTGCAGTTGCAGACAAGATAGTTAGATCATCTGTGATTCTCTAAGACATGGACATAGATTAGAATCTATAGCTGAAGCTGTGGGGCCACAGGTGATCTCTTTCAGCATTTGGAAATCACCAACAATTGTTACTGAGGGTAAAATTATTACATGCATGATTGCATATAAATTGAATGAAATCACATTTAATCCTGCCCCACCAATTTGAAGTAATACCTCATCAAAGATGCAGATGCTGTGTAAACGATGGTGGGTAAAAATACAAACTGTAAATAAAACAGAAAAAATAATAATTTCTAGAATACTGGCTTGAGGACTTTGAGATAATTATTTACAGAGCATTAAAGAACATTGCAACAATTTGTACACTTTAATGAGGAAGAATAAATGTGAAACAGGTGTCAGGAATGTAGACACTGTTTTGGGCCATTAAGGCCACTTTTCAGAAAGCAGAGTTCAGATAAATCCTCCTAGGGAAGGACTAGATGTACAGGACTAGAGGTAATACTAGATTAAACTTGGAAACCACAAGTTTAACTCTTTCATGCCTATGTTAAATTTAGAGTGAGTGTAATGAGCCACAAGAGCAGAGGTGGGTTGTTCCCAGTTCAACCCAGATTGGGTAAACCAGTAGTAGCAGCAGTGGAAGGCTCTGCCCACCCACCCGGATGCTTTTACATAGAAGTGGCATGCAAGTGTGCATAAGCAAAGCAGTAGTAAAAATATGGAAACCCACCACTGCACAAGAGTAAGCAGAATCTGTAACATGTAGCATAAGCAAACCAAAATCCTAAAGCCTAAAAAATCCTAAATTTTTCAGGGTCTGGATCATATTTATCTATTATTTATAAGAAGTATATTCCCCAGGAACCTTCAATTCTATTCTACAAATAAGACATGCAAGCAAATAAAAAGGAGAAGCAAATAAGATTAAACCCATATTTCAGAAAGCTCAAAAATAAAGAAGACTCTGGCCAGAGACCAAAAGACGGTAATGCTTTTGTATCAGATGAAACATGATGTAGAGCAAGGATGTCAAACTCACATCGTCATGGTGGCATCATGTGATGTATTGGGACTTCCCCCCCTTCGCTAAACCGGGCATGGGTGTGGCCAGTGCGTGATGCATCCGGCCAAGGGTTTGGCAGCCCTGATGAAGAGTGTACCATAACTATAGCTCTTCCACTGAGACAAGATTTTGTTTTGTGTATTGTTTTATTTTGCTTTTGTGACCATCTTCTAATTCTCATCTGGCAAAAGTTCCATTGGAGGCCTTCAGCTGAAGCTCTTAAAGTATAAGGTTATACATAGGAGATAAATGTTACTTCATGCTTCTAGGTCTTAAATCATGAATGCTATAAGGCCAAAGGCAGTACCTGGAATCTAAGCATAGAAATGGACTGAAGGCCGGGAGCAGTTGGTCTAAGACAGATAATCATAATGTCCTGGTTGAGTAAAAAATGTAGAACTTAGATTCTGCACTGACTGTAGTTTTAATACCTTCAATACACTTTAAAGATTTAGTGCATTACAGTCATTTTACTAGGGTTTACTAGTGTATGAATAAAAGAAGCTGGTCTTATATATGATAGAGTACCCAACTTCGCAGCTGGCAGGCCTTTGATAGCCGATTGAATTAAAAGTGATTTTCCCCCCCAAATACAAATCTTCCAAAGTTCTCTTTAACAAACTTGATTAAGATGAAAGCAAGAGTGTTCCGAACATTTCAGAAAACTGAACTCTTGAGTTAGGAACCAACACATAGTATTTATGTCTGCATGAAGGTGGAAATATTCTGAATCTTTTTCTCACAGCCTCATAATATACCCAGGAAGAGGTGAGTCTTCCCCTCTGACAAAGGGGAAATCTGCAGTTGTGAATGAGATACACAATGGTTACTTGAACCCTTTTCAACCCCCAAACTAATTTTTATACCAATACTGCCTGACTATGCAGTCCTAGGAAAAGACTGTATGCCAGTGATGGCTAACCTTTTTGCCATTGCATGCCAAAAGCAGGGGGAGCGGGGGGTTGAGCGCATATGTGCCCATACCCATAATTCTATGTGCTCTCCCCTTGTGCATGTGTATGTGACACACACACACGCTCTTACCCCTCTTTTGGCACGCAGTGGCCCTGTTTTTCACCCTCCCCAGGCTCCAGACCCTTTCTAGGAGCCTAGGGAGGGCGAAAAAGACCTCCCGCCCTGGAGGGCGAAAATGGTCCATTTGCCAACTGTTGGACCAGAAAGTGTGTTTTTCGCTGTCCCCAGGCTCCATACCCTTTCTAGGAGCCTGGGGAGGACCAAAACGGCTCTTCCTACCCTCTTGGAGGCTTACCGTAGGCCGAAAACAGCCTGTTTCCCAACTTCTCATGGGCCCAGAAGTCCTGAAAATCAGCTGCCCAGCGCGCGCATGCATGCTGGAGCTGAGCTCGCATGCTTACTGCTATGGCTCCATGTGCCACCTGTGGCATGCATCATGGCTCTAGACTCTTGTTCCTTTTTTGCCACCCAAAGATTTTTGCTTGCCAGTAAGTTTCACACAGGTGTGGGATTTTACCAATTCGGACTGGTTCAAGTGAACCGGTAGCTCTGACTATCAGCTGGGCCTGCCCACCCACCCCTGCACTATACTCACCTATATTCCCTTTTCTGAAGCACAACTGATAGGATTGCTGTGCCTCAGCTATATTCCTCTCCCGCAGTAATGTGGAAGGTGATTTCTCTGTAAACTGTGTACATGGGAGAACCGGTTGTTAAACCGGTAGGATCCCGCCCCTGGTTTCACATACCACTCTGTTATGTCCATGAGGGGTCCTTGGTGCTCTATGATCTTGGTTGTTTTCTTGCAGGTGTTTCATTACCCAAACTAAGTAATATCATCAGTTTTAACCCTGGGCTACAAATGTTCTGCTTTATTAATTATGCCCATTTGCATTGCCTCCGTTTACAAATACTCATGCTATAATCACACCAAGGATATTACACCAATAGATTACATCTACCGTGGGAAACGGTGGTTTTTTTTTTTTTTTTTGAACATTAGATTTTTACAAAAAGTGCTGGGCAAAAAGAACAAGAGCTTCCATGGATGGGGAACCTCCTAGTTAAGTAGACTAGGTAGGGCGGCATCCATACAAGCCCAAGAAGTAACAAATAGCAAAATTAGCATCGTTATGTAAGCTGTGTCCCTTTTTAAAATACATGCATTGTGATTATTCCCCCCCCCCCATTCTGACAAAACTGGTGGATTCTGTAGATGCTTCTGAAAAGCCTCCAAAAAGGAGAATGATGCCTTCCCCCCCACCCCCCGTGCACCGGGGTGGAACACCTCTGAGGTTATCCAGAAAGAAGGCCACAGAATGGTAGATGGCTCAGCAATTTCTGCCTTCTGAGATGGCCTAAGTAAATACTCAATTTGTAGAATTGGGGTAGCCCAGAGAAAAGAACCAGTTGTAGGCTGCTTTTTGAGATCTTCAGACTGAATAGCCATCAGGGGCTACATACAATGCAGCCTAATGAAGAGAGCCTGTTTTGGAGTAAAATTCAGACTCTTCAACTGCAGGCAGCTGTTGCCTGTTGAGTGCCAGCTAACAAAGGAAACGATTTCTCCTGAAAACAGCCAGAGACTCCATAAGGGAAGTATCTGCCTTGAAAACACTTCAAGTGAATACATTTAGGAGAGGGGGGGGGGACCCTACTTAATTGTGATAAGTACAAATACAGACTACCAAGACATCTTTTGAAGTCAAAACAATCTTTATTGAGCTGCACTATCATTGGTGGAATGAGAAAGGGGTGGGGAGGGAGGGGGCTGAGATGATGCCTGAATATCTTGATATGAAAGGAAGGAAGAGAAGAAGGGCAGGGAATATCATTGGGTGCCTCTCCCATAAACAATGATGGCCGTCATCTTGGAGTGAGTTTGCAGGAGGTTTTCTCAAGCTGGTTAAAGTCAGTCACTTCTATATGGTGATTTTTTTTTAGGCATGGATGTGCTCCCCACGTGACTCCTGAGCTTGAGAACTTTATGATACACTTGGAATGTATAAAGCGGAGAAGATTGAGGCATCATTGCAGCAGTTATTAAAAGTCCAGGGGGAAGATGGCTAATTACTGAGTCTCCTCCGCTTGCTGTGTCCCCTTCTTGTCACTGCCAGTTCATCTGTAAATTCCATGTGGGAGGTCATTAGGAAAGAAATTGAAAATGACATTAATCCCCGTATTGTTATTGCCCAGCCGCAGTTGGATTACTCTGCCTAGTTCTGTTCCCTGTGTCTCAGAAAGAAGCAGAGAGAGTTAGAGGACTTGCAGATAAGGGCAATCAAAATTATCAAGGGGATGCAGCTAATTCTTTTATGTGGGAGGGTTTTACATCAAGTAGGAGGGGCAGGGTAAGCATATTAAAAAGGCAAATAGATAGAGGCATGTTTGAAATATGGCAAGGGTAAATTAGCAGCCAGGTAATTTTTTTTGCGCCCTCAAAATAAAAGAACTGATGGTCATTCAGTTAAATTAAATGGCGAAAGATTTAGGACCGTGATGGTGAACCTATGGCATGCAGAGCCATATTTGCTGGCATGCCAGCCGTCAGCTCTGGGCAGCTGATTTTTTGCCTTTCTAGAAGGCCGGGGGGAGGCCATTCCCCCTCCCCCAGGCTTCAGGGAAGCCTACGGAGGCTGGGGAGGGCAAAAAATGGCCTCAATGGGCCAACCGGAAGTTTGCAAATTATCAATTTCTAGCTTCCAGAGAGCCTCCAGGAGAGGCCGTTTTTGCCCTCCCCAGACTTTAGGAAAGCCTCCGGAGCCTGGAGAGGTATTGTGCGTGCATGCGTGGAGGGGTGGGGGTGTCACGCATGCATGCACAGGTGGGTGGGAAGGATTTAATTGGTGTGGGTATGCATGGGTGTGCGATACCGCACATGCGCACAATTTTGGCACACTGTAAAAAAAAGGTTCACCATCACTGATTTAGGAGAACATCATCATGTACCACATGGTTAAACTATGGAACTTGCTCTTAGAGGAAGGAATGTTGTGGTATTGTGTCTCTCAATACTACTTGTTGGAAACAGCCGAGAAAGTGCTGCATGCTCAGGAATCGGCAGTTTGACATCCTTCAGGACACCTGGATTCCAGCTCTCTTTACCAGGAGTAACAATCTGTGGAAATGATAGCCGCAAATATCTGTAGAGCACCAAACTGTCTACTAATGAAATAGTCCAGTGGTCCCCTACCTTTCTGACTTGTAGAGTGATGGCAGCAGCGGCAGTGGAGAGGGGATTGTTTTGTGGGAGCACCTCCACTTGTGCAATCGGCATGCATAAATGGATCTTTGCACACAGGCACGAGTGCCCACGGTTTGTGCAAGGGAAGACTTGTGAGCACGCTCGCCTGCTGCTTGAGTGGTGTGGTTCCAAATGGGCTGAGGGTTGGCGGACCCCAGAAATGGCCTAATCCAGCAAGTCCCTTACTACATTCTTGAAGTTTAGGAGAAAATGAGTCTAGCTTGATGTGGCAAAATGAAGGAATTTCACCCAGCGCCATAGAACTATATAGATGTAAACCAGTGCAATTATTTCTGATCAAAGGCTTCTCTGCTGTTATAACAGTAAAATGTCTGTAATATGATATATTTAAGGAGCAAAGTGCTTTTGCCATATGCCTTTTATGGCTTTTTGTTTTCTATCATATAGCCTAAGCGTTTAAAATTCTTTAAAAACCCAAGGAATTTTATCATACCCAGCACATTTGTCCTTCTCCTGCTATAACCATCTCTTCTTCGTGCAATATTTTATTCTTTTTAAATTTCCTTAAATTGTAAAGGTAATTTGTCATGTGGCTCAGAGGAACTGCTGCTTAAGAAATATGAACCAAAACAATGTTTGCTTGGAGGCATGCAAAACTATTCACTTCTCCAGGCAGTTTTTGAAAATATAACTTATAGACATCAAAATTGCCGTTTGTTTTATATTGGTTGGGGGTTCTGGAAGCAGAATATACATAATCTGTCTTTATGTTTGCTGCAGTCTCTGGGAGCTTTTTTCAAGCCTAATTGTAGGATCAGTTTAGAGGGGGTGATTCATAGCCTCATCGATACTCCTATAAAGTGTTTCATTTCCCCTCTTCCAGTGTGTAAACCTGTGTGAAAATAGACAATATCGGTCAGGTATCTCCATGCACTTCCAAACATTTGCCAAGAAAACTTCAGGGACTGGTCCAGACCTGAAGCCTCTCCCAGGTCCTTGAGAAGAACTCAATAAGTGGACAGAAAGGCCAAATCTAGTCTTAACATCTGACCGACAGGGCAACCATTCATAATAATATGAAAGCATGTATGGGTATAGAGATTTAGCATTGTGCACAGGGGTGAAATCCAGCAGGTTCTGACTGGTTTTGGAGAACCAACAGCGGAAATTTTGAGTAGTTCAGAGAACCAGCAAATGCCACCTCTGGCTGGCCCCAGAGTGGGGTGGGAATGGGGATTTTTCAGTATCCTTCCCCTGCCACGTCCATCAAGCCACATCATGCTCTCCAAACCATGCCCACAGAATCGGTAGTAAAAAAAATTGAATTTCACCACTGTTTGTGCATCATTAGAAAGAGTGTGCAACACACACATACCCTGCTGCCAGATTTCCCCGGGAAATGCAGCATCTACGATGGAAAAAAGGCTGCTATTCCTTTTTTAATAGATTTACTTATTTATTTCCATTCCATAAAGTAGATTCTGGTGAACTCAGTGTGGCTACCTGGTCATGATGCAAACTTGCATTCATTCTACTAGCCCTCTTGAATTCAAGAGGCGTTCTCAAATAAATGAGTAGAATTGCACCATTCGTTTGGAGTTTCTCCACATTTTTATCTCCAAAGAGTGATATCAGATGATCTCCCACACTCATCCTAACCAGATCCAGGGCAGCTTCAGTGTTTGTTGCATGATAAACCTTCAAACCTTTGTTCCTTGGATGAAATATTAAGGTGTTAGTGCAAGGTTCTTTCCCCTCCTTGAGTTTTAAAATAATAAGATGTTGGTTTGGAGTCCACAGTTGTTTTGAAAAAAAATATGTTTTTTTTCCTCCATCTCTACATACACTCTCAGTTGGGCTTCTCCACATAAATAGGGCTAATCACAAACTATTTCTCTTTTAGGTGGGCTCTTTCTTCATGATAAATCTCTGCCTCGTGGTCATAGCAACCCAGTTCTCAGAGACCAAGCAGCGAGAGAGCCAGCTAATGAAGGAGCAGCGAATCCGCTACCTCTCCAACGCAAGCACGTTGGCTAGCTTTTCGGAGCCAGGAAGCTGTTACGATGAACTTCTCAAATACCTTGTCTATGTCCTTCGGAAGGCCGGCAAGCAAGTGGTAGAAACTTGTTGGACCACAGGGGTAAAGATGGGCTTTCTCTCCAGCCCACGCAGTAAGAACAGCACAGAGAGACAACTGTGCAAACATCATCCGCAGAAAAGGTCATCAGTACATCACCTCATTCACCATCACCATCACCACCATCACCACTATCACCTAGGCAATGGAAGCCTACGGGCCCCACGAGCCAGTCCAGAAATTAGTGATGTGGAAACCAGCTCCATTCACAACGGTGCCAATCGGTTGATGCTTCCTTCAGTAGTCAATCCTTCTCACATGGCACCGGGCAACACGGAATCTGTTCACAGTATCTACCATGCAGACTGCCATTTTGAGCCAATTCATTGCCAATCATCTCTCTCTCAGACTGGTCTCAGTTTGCCGGGACCTGAGGTGCTCCCCAGGACCATGGTTGGCAGCAAGGTTTACCCAACAGTACACCCAAGTAGCTCCCACGAGCTCCTCAAAGATAAAGGTTTTCCAGAGTCCGCATTGAACCCCGGGACTAGCACGCTGATGAATCTTAACATCCCTCCAGGGCCTTATAGTCCAATGCAGAAGATACTGGAAACACAGAGCACTGGTAAGTAGTAAGCTTGGCTGTTGACCATTCAGTCAAGCTTGAATGACAGGCAGAGTAGTAATCTTTGTGTTCCTCTTTTGTCCATTTTGTCCTTAGCATTTCCACCAAGCTACATCTCAGGGACAACAAGTGTGTTTTGTTTGTGGAGCCCCAGAAAAAGGTTGCAAAAATTCCTGCCTGCCATTTTGGAAAGCTATTGACAATCAGTGTTCACAGCATGGAATCTGATGGGCAGCATTTTGAAACAAGAGTCTAATCTAATGACTGAATTCACATTTCACATTACTGTACCCTGTGGTATTTTACTCAGGTTTATAAGAGCCACTGTAATATTTGAAACCAGTGAGAAATCAACGCAGAAAGCATTTAAAATATATACTTCCGGCTTGCCCAAGCCATGAAGAACCGTCTTCTGAGAATGTAGGTTCTCTGAGGATTTGTCTAAAAGCTGAATGTGTGTGTGCGTGTGTGTGTGTGTGTGTGTGTGAAAGAGAGAGAGAGAGAGAGAAAGAGAGAGAGAGAGAGAGAGAGAGAAGCTTGTATAACATAAATATACAAGGTGTTATTGTTGGATAGCAATATGTTTCTGTTTGCCACCTTTTTTCCTTCTTACATACATATCATTTCCGAACAATTGGTAAGCATGCCAGTGATAGATCTTTTTGGAGGCTGTGGGCTTCTTTCTGTGCAGGGTTGACTTGGGGGTCACACTAATTCAGTCCTGTGGAATAATATCAGGGAGCAAACAGGCACAGGTCCAGCTTCTGTAATTCATACGAAGCTCCCGTCTGGAAATGGGGAGTTTCTGTCATCATCCAAACTACTGCGAATATTTATTCAGAAGCGTGAATGATCCCCTGTAACAACACCGTTAATCTAATGTAAGGATGGCCTCTGGAGCGTCCACATTTCACTTTCCATGATTTCTCTGTGTTTGCAGGGGTTTTTGGGGGGGGGGATCTCTCTAAGCATGAGAGACTTTCTGGGAATGAGGCAAGGCCAGCTCGTCAAAAATCTAACAGTTTGCCTCCAAGAGAAGGTCAGGCTAAGTGATCCAATGTTCCCTGCAGGCTTGAAAGTGAGATAGGAGTTAAAGCTAGATTCAGAGTGGGTTTTGAGGACAAACTCCTCAACTCACTGTAGCCAACTTCATTAGGGACTCTTCTTGCATTGGAAAGCCCATTGTCAGCTGGAATTGATTTCAGAATGGTGAGTTGGAAGAGAAGTTGAAATACCAGCAAGCAGCAGGCGTGCATGGGCTATGGTGGTGTCTCTGCAGCTCCTAATACAGATAGTCCTCGACGTATGACCTTAATTGAACCCAACATTAAGTGAAACATTTGTTAAGTGAGCTTTGCCCCATTTTGCAACCTTTCTTGTCACAGTTAAGTGAATCACCCCAGTTGTTAAATTAGTAACGAAGTTGTTAAGTGAATCCGACTTCCCCATTGCATTTGCTTGTCAGAAGGTCATAAAAGGTGATCACATGGCCACGGGATAGTGCAACCGTCATAAATATGAACTGGTTGCCAAGCACCTGAATTTTCATTGGGGATGTTGTGACTGTCGCAAGTCTGAAAAACGGTCATAACTCACTTTTTTCAGTGCTGTTCCAACTTTGAACTGTCATTAAATGTCAGTTCAGTGTATGTCATAAGTCGAGGACTTATGTGCCGTATTACATGTGCCATAGACTTGATTGCTTTCTGTTTCACCTTAATGGACAAATGGGTAATGAAGCAGCTGCAAATGCTTGCTTATGGACAGCATTGACTGGTGAGTTCTAAGGGGTGTGTGTATGCACATGTGTTTGGCTCAGCCTTGGATTTGTAAATCTGAATAGATTTCCACAATTCAAGGTAGGGAACTAAGCAACCATCAAGCACTTTCCCCCCTGAAAAAAAGTTGTTGCTGATCTTCTATCTTCTATATATATAAAAGTATATATGTATGTTCCAGCATAACTCTGGAGCCTCAAGATATTTCAACCAAACTTGGTACACAAAATACTGGGGTGGTGGTGGTAAGACACCCCTGGTGTGTGTGTGTGTGTGTGTGTGTTCCAGCATAACTCTGGAATGCCTGGGCTGTTAAGGGGACCGAGTACGTCATCCTACAGCAGCAATTGTTTGTGATGTCATGGGAGGGGGAAGATCCAATGGGGAAGCGCTTAATGGATTTGGGGCAAAGTGCCTGGATTGTAAGAGAGAGCACATGAGAGGGGGAAGGGAGAGGGCAGGGATGATGGGCATGGGAGTAAAGGGAAGAAAGGCCACTCCCAATAGCTCCCTGTCAGACAAATGCTTTGACGTCTATAAATACCTGGGCAGGTATTCAGCTAATATTAAATTTTTAAAAAGAAAACTGTCATTGAGTAACCTCTGGAAGAATTGTTATTTTCTTTAGCCTGGGATGAAAGAGATGGAGTTAAATAGTTATTGGTGGTTATTTCCCCAAATAAATGTTTTGGGTGTGGGCCCCCCCCCCATCTACTAATTTGTTATGGAAAAGGTAACCTTTAATTGGTATAGCACAAAACACAAAACACTGTGTTGTTTGAAAGTCTTTTACATTTTCTAACCAGGAATATTGATTCTGATCTTGCTCAATGGAAAACTCTTTTGCGTAGCTATATCCCACTGACGCTTCTGCTTGAATAAAAGATGGTGTAAATTAAGCAGTGTATTCTTTTAGGCTTTAATATTTTGCGGAGATATTGCAGCTTACATGCCAGTTCTCTAACAGATGCAAATGTTTCCCAAGAAATGGCTTGAATGAGGTAACTGAAAACCCATGTTTTGTAATATTCACAGTCCCTTAGAAATGTACAGTTTGAACATGGATGATTCACAATTAACACTGTTTCAGCAGTTTTTTCTGATAGTTTTCTAGAGGTGTTCTTGAACATTTCCTGTTATTCCTCTGTAACTTTGCATTTTCCCAGGTAGAATCCAAGGGTGTTTGCTCAAAAAATGGTGCAATCAAAGCTCTCTACCTATTTGTTATTGTCTTATGTTATTGAGGCCACCATCTTGACTTTTTTTTTGACACACTCTGTATTTACTCCTGTCACAATAGATGAGAAAGATTCCTACATCATGCCTTTCCTTTCCCAGACAAGAATCTACTTGACCCACATTTCTTAGAGACAGAGGTGGATTGCTACCGGTTTGGGCGAACTGGTAGTGGAAACTGGGACTGAGTTCCCAAACCAGTAGAGAGAAAGCAAAGAAGGATCCCATTCAGACATTTGCCAGATCAATTCAATAAATTTGAGTAACCTTAATTGGTTAACTTTTTACTTAGTAAAATCGGAGACCTCAGATTTCGAAATAATGCCTCATTTTCTGAAGGACTTGTACCCTTCGATACTCCTTTCATGCAACTGGGCAGCGCTTTCTGGGAATAGTGTTGCAGAACAAAAAGTATGTTAATGTTTTAAAACAGTCAGCTTTTATAAAACTAATCATGATTCTTGATCTCTTTTGCCTAGCCTTCAGAAACCTTTTGAGTCGGGTTAGGCAGATATTTCTTTTTTTATTATTATTCAAAGATTACATTTATGTAGTTCAAAACAGCCTCTCACTTTCATTTTCAGTGCAGACCTTACAAGCATAAAATATCAGCACTCTTATTTATTGAAGGGTATTTATAAATTTTTGATCTGGCATTTTCACAGCTAAAACTGTTCCAAAGTGTGAAAAACTTTTAGAATAACATTTAAAAAAAAAACCTTACAAACGTAAAAGCAGCAAAAGAATAATACCAAAGGTAAAATCTACTGAGGTGGAAAGCTCCAAAAGGCAGGATTGCCACTTTCAAAAAAATAAAGAACTGAAAATCAGGGAGGGTAAAATCGCCTTCACGCGGTTCCTGAAAGAATACGGTGGAGATGGCTGATGCTTTCTGGAATTTCAGAGTTTAAATTATGAGCCCATGAACATTATTACAGCTATTGTTGTGCTTGATAACATCATCTCTACCACCGGTACCATGAGTTCCATCACCATCCCCACGGTGGTGAAATTCAAAAAATTTCTCTACTTGTTCTGTGGGCGCAGCTTGGTGGGTTTGGCTTGGTGGTCATGTAATCGGGTGGGCATGGTGTGGTGGTCATGTGACTGGGTGGGCATGGCTTGATCATGTGAACTTGGTGGGTGGGAGTGGCCAAGTCGACATCACAATGTAAAAGCAGCTGGACTTCACACAAAATGGCACCTGCAACAAGCAGGAACCTCACAATCAGGCACAGCTGATTTTTAAACATTTTTTTACTACCAGTTCAGGCGAATAGGTGGAAAAAATTGCTTTTAAAAAGTTATGACCATCGTGCAGCACAGCTGATTGTCGGAACTTTTTTTTTTTTACTTTTTAAAGCATTTTTTTACAGGCAAACCGACCCGAACCGGTAGCATTTCACCCCTACATCCTGATCTTCATCACCGCTACCAATGTGCTGCTGCTGTTTCTGCAAAAAAGGGGGCTCAGGGTTACAAGCTAAAGGCCACCCATCCCAGCACTCTATGCAGACAGGGTCCTAGGTTTCAAATGTAGCTCTTGCCAAAATAAAGTATCCATAGTACAAAGTGGTGATGAATAAATCTGATTGGGATGGGAGTAAACAAGCTGGCACTCAATCCCGACAAGACCGAGTGGCTGTTGATGTTGCCCCCCCAAGAACGGACCAGATATTCCATCTCTTAGCCTGGGGGGGCGAAACCCTTCGCCCCTCAGAGAGGGTCCGCAACTTGGGTGTCCTCCTGGATCCTCAGCTGACATTAGAATACCATCTGTTGGCTGTGACCAGGGGGGCTTTTGCCCAGGTTCGCCTGGTGCACCAGTTAAGGCCCTATGTGCACCGGGAGGCACTTCAAATGGTCACTCATGCTCTCGTCACCTCTGGCTTGATTACTGTAATGCGCTTTACTTGGGGCTGCCCCTGAAGAGTGTTCAGAGACTACAATTGGTCCATAATGCAGCCGCACAAGCGATATCGGGTGTACCTAGGTATACCCACGTTACACCTATCCTCCGCAAACTGCACTGGCTTCCCATCGGTCTCCGAATGCGCTTCAAGGTG